TTGCATTTGAATTTTCATTTCAATAATTTCGGATCTTATTTTATCGAGTTCTTCAATCAAATGAATTTTAGTTTGCTTTCTCTTCTTTGCTTCAATTCCTATCACACTTAAATTTTCTCTTTAAAGTATCTCAACTAACTTCATTCTTTCCTTTAACTCTTCAATCTCATTTACAATCGACTTTTGAACTCTACACATGATGTGGTCATCTTTAATCCACTTCCAAAATCCATAATTGTCAATCTAAAAGTTATAATATGTCATAAAAATAAAATATTAAATACATAGTGTGTTTTTGTAACAAGGGAGAAATTTTAGTAATTTCGGTAACTAAGAACAATAAATGCCTTTCAATATGGGCAACAAATGAACTTTTTCCCTAGGTTAGTTTCGGTTCTTGAAATATATAGGTTCGTCTTTGTCTTATGCTTGCATAAAGGCATTTTGAAAGTTGAGGAACATATTTTTAAAGCTTGATACATGTTGAAGCTACTATCCGTATATGTCATATTCGTGGCTTTTTTTAAAGCTATGCAAATTTAGGTGTGGGTAATGTAGGTTTGGGTTTTGATCCATCATAATGTAATTGATCTATCACGACACAGTTGATCCATCACAATGTACTTAAAAAATTTATATGAACAAAAAAGGCATCAAAACCTAGAATCATCAAAACATACATAAATAAGAAAACCCATAAAAAATAAAATGAAAACAAGTCTAGATAAAAAGAGAGACGAGAGAACCTTATAGTTGAAGATTTTAGAGGAATAGGTACTTATCGAAGATTCATAGGTATTGCGAGGAGTAGAGGAAAAAGGCTACAATGGAAATTTTAGGTTTAATGAAATCATAACTTATTAGATTTGAGGAAGAAAAATGGTTTGATTCCTGGCTAATGGACTTACAATATTTATAGACATTATTTGTAAATTAAAATGGATAAAGGAAGCTTGTGTTTTCTTCAATTCACTTAAGGAGAAAGGCATAAAGGAAAATGAAGTCATATACACTATGTTGATTGATGGACATTGCAAAGCTATGAAATTAGATGAGAAAACCCATAAAAAATAAGAACAAAACATGTAGAGATAGAGATAGATAGATAGAGAGAGAGAGAGAGAGAGGCACTTTATAGTTAAAGATTCATAGAGGAAGGAATATTTGTTGAAGATTTATAGGTTTCTCAAGAGGTATGCAAATAAAGTTATGGGTTTTGGTTTAGGAATTTTTTGAGGAGAAAATGGATTGGTTGAAGAAGAAAGAAGATTGAGGTTCTTATTCGTCATGCATAAAAAAGAAAAGAAGATTGAAGTTCTCATTCGTCGGGCAAATAAGAGGAGAAGATTAGGGATTTGGGTTGGCTTGTTTGTCGATCGGGCGAGAGAAGAGAAGAAAAAACTAGGGATTTAGTCTTTTCATTATTGAATTGAATTAGTTAGTTAGTTTTAAGAATTGGTTTTGAATAAGTGGGCAAACGACATGTCGTCCATCCTAATTGAGTTATAATTGTTATCCATGTATCATCTTACATAGACTTTTTATCCAAGGTATAATCTTATGTGTCATGTCACGTTGGATAAACTCATAATCTTAGACGAAAAATAATTCCCATGCTAAAATTGTTATCGAAACATAGTTCGTGTATTTTTTATACACTTTTGGAAAAACGTGTTAGAAAGATTAAAAAGATATATAGTTTGCACTTTTATGATACAATAAGCTATTAATAATTTTAAAGGTCCCTTTTCTCTTTTTTTTTTTTTTAAAAAAATCTTTATTGTGTCCTTTTATTTTTTGGTCTTAAGTTTATATTTATAAATTTGGTTTTTGTCTTAATCTTATCCCTTTGTTAACTTTTGGACTAATGATGTTAATTTTTTCTATCTTAATATCATCCATCTATTCTATTTTTTTGTCTTAATATTATTTTTTAATATCAAATTTAAATAAATGAATTTTTGAAAATAAAAGGTTTAATGGTAAAAGTTGACCACAAACTATTAGTTTTTTTTTTTTTTTGGCAATTTTGGGCCTTTATTATCAAATTGGGTTAATTGCAACTTAATCTATTATTTTTTTGACAAATATGATCCTTGTTATCTTTAAAAGTCAAGGAGTTGATCGTTAACATTCTAGTTTTTTTTTTTAATCTTAGTTTTAGTTCACTTGGTCAACATATGGTCCGTCAGATTATATAATGGCTATTCATTAGATTTCAAAATTAATAACGATCATAAAAAAAATTGAAAATACATATAATCAAATCAAAAAATGAAAGTACATATACTTAAAAAATACAAATAGTTGAGTAAAATAAAAATAAAATGTTCGTATTCACGTGGTGGACGGAGTTAGTAAAATGATGTGTCAATTTAATAGTTATATCGGTATGAATTTAACAATAAAAATGCTTGATTATAAAAAAATTAAAAATTTATATTAACGACAATCTAATTATTACGTAAAACATGTCATTAAGGTAAAATTTCAAGTTTTTTTTTTTATTAAATTCATGCTGATATAATCATCAAATTGACATGTTAGTATACCGACCTATCCATCACATGAGTATGAATATTTTATTTTATTTATAATTGAGTGTTTGTACTTTTATTTTTTTATTTGATCATCCGTACTTTTAATTTGTTTTTTTTAATAAGTGTTATTAGTTTGAAATCTAACAAATAACTACTATGCAATTTTATGTAAACTATATTTTGACTAAGTTAACTTAAAAAAAAATTGAAATGTCAATGATCAACTTTTTGATTGTTAATGATGGTAGATAAGGATCACGTTTTCCAAGAAAAATAAAAATTTAGGGTCCAATTAATCCAAATTAACATTAAAGGCTTGAAATTGTCAAAACTTAATAGTTTGGAGGTAATTTTTGCCATTAAAAAAACTAAAAAAAGTGAAGATAAAAATAATTCTTTATCCAAAATATCTTTTATGAGTTTACATTTATGTCTATGATAGTAAGCAAATTTTAGTATAAAATTAAATACTTATAGTATTTTTTAATATGAAGAGAGTTTTAGTTAAATTTTTAAATTTTCGAATGACATTTATAATTTTATAATACTTCAAAGAGTCTACTATAATTTACTTATTTTGATATTACAAATTACTTAATTTTTAAAATTTAACTAAAATTCTCTTCACATTTAAAAAATAATAATATAAATATTTATTTTATACTCAAAATTTGCAACTAAAACATAAACAAATCAAAAAATTACTACAAATATTTTATTTTAAACTCAAAATTTGCTTATAATTATAGAGATAAATTTAAGCTCATAAAAAATATTTTGGATAAAAAATATTTTTATATTCATTTTTTTTTCAATTTTTGGAGAGAATGATATGATATATCTTCATTATGTTTTCAAAATTTATATATTTAAATTTGATAAAAAAAAAACAAGATTAAGATGAAAAAATAGAGTAGAGGGATGAGATTAAGACCTAAAAAAAGTTAACATTGTTAGTTAAAAATTTAACAAAAAACGACATTAAGAAAGAAATCAAAAGAATGAAGCTAAAACGGAAAGAAAAAATAGAATGATACAATAATAGAAAAAAAGAAAAGAAAAGAAAGTAAAGGAATCTTTACAACCATTAACTTGAGAAATTATGCACCTATCATTATTGAGAAAGCTACGCAATTGGAGCCCAATTTTTACTAATATTTTATTTGAATGTCTCACCTCTAATTTTATCTATTTGAGTTATTAATTTTTTATTTGAATTTGACTTTTTTTTTGGTTAGTTTATGATTTTCTTGATTGATTATTCTTAAAATATTCAAGTGTTTAGGTTCGTATTTTATTTTTTAATCGAATTTCAAATTTATTATAATTTTAGGTTTTTTTTCTAGTGAATTTACTTTCAATATATATATATGAAATGAATCATGTAAAAAAAGTTTTTCGAGAATTAATTGAAAAATTATCTTTATTTTAGAGGAAAATTGAAGTTTACAAACTAATAAAGCATTTTCATTTAGTTTTGTTAAGAGAAATAGATGGATTTGGGGGCCAAAACCAAACCGTACATAAAGGATTCAATTGCCTTTTTCAGTAGAACATAGTTAAATATGGTAGAACTATTAATCATCAGGCATTTAAACTAACCGTAAGAAATTACTGTCGAGCCATATGGGCCACCAGAAAATTGAAGTAAAGCCCAAATTGGATCGCCCCGAACTGAATCTGGCAAAAATTTGAGATTGAAGTGAGATCATCGATCGTGATTCCCTAAGCAAAAACACAACACTAGTTGGGTACTAGTGAATGTAAAAATCGATTTCGCTTTCTTCATTTTTCCAGTTTGAGGTAACTAGTTAATTAAATCAATACCATCTTCTTCTTCCTTATCCCTTTTTCTTTTATATTATTATTGGCCCTAAAAGATATCACATTCGTTTAGGGTTTCCTTCTCCCTCCATTAATGATTTCAATCTCTCACGATTTTCGCATTCGTACCGGCGAGAACCTGACAAGCTGGCATTTTGAGATTCTAGGATTTGAAGTTTAGATTTATTATTTTTGTGATTTTCGATCTTGTACAGTAAATAATAAATAAAAGTTTTGTTTTTGAATTTCAGTTTTAATGCATGTATTTGATTTTTCTTCCTTTGTTTCCCTTTGTAGTGTTGAAATTGAATACTTTTTAGTTAAATTTATAGCGTGAAATGTGCTATAACTTTTTTGTTGTTGGAGCGGTGGCCTTTTAAAGCTGGAAGATGACGGTGATGATGATTTTGTTTGTTATTTCTCTTTAATTTTTAGAATTATTTGGGAAAAATAAAAAATAAAAACCTGCTATTGCTATTGCTATTTGCAAATGTGGCTGAAATATTTATATAAATTAGTCCTTGTTGTTGCGTTGACATGTTGCAGTATATCACTTTAAATTTTGGATGCTTAGTCTCTGTGTTTTTGCTGTTTATTGTTCATGACAGTTAGTTTGTGAACTGATTCTGATGAAGAATGATTGTTGCAGAAAATATTTTATGCAAATTCTGGGCTCAAATGGGTTCAGAAACAACTAAAACAGGTCGTTTAGCAAATGGGGAGGCTGAGAAGAGTGTCCACAAAAAAAGGCATGGTCATTCGAGTAATGGTACAAATGGACAACATGAAAACTTCGGTTCTAATGGAGCTGGAACTAGTTCAAGCGGTGAAGATGATGTTTTAATGATGTGCACGGAGGATATAGATGGCAACTTAGAAGCCGACGTATCACAGGTTGTTGTACCTGTAAGCTGAACCCATTAATGTCTTAGCATATTGGGGATTCATAAGTGCTTCAGATGGTATTTTAGCTTTCATAACATGTCAACTTGCAATGTAGTAATGTGATTTGTTTTATCTTTTGAAGAAAAAGGCAAGACAAGGAGACCTGACATTTCAGGACATGCACGACAACCAAAATTGGTTTGATGAGGATGATGAAGATGACAGTGACTGGGAGCCTGTGCAAAAGCATGTAGAGGTTATAAAGTGGTTTTGCATCAACTGCACGATGGTTAATCTTGGCGATGGTGTCATTTGTAATGTATGTTTAAATGCAATTTTGGCTAGTTTGAGAGTTTATTTTTTGAGAAAAAGATCCATTTATGCTCGTTGTTTGGTGGTGTATTATGAATTGCTGACCCATGAAACAATATCTGCTACAACATATTTTATTTGATATGGTATCGTGTGTGGATGACTTGCTGCAATCAATTATGTGCAGTTATGTGGTGAACATAAAGAATCTGGTATCCTGAGGCAGGGGTTTCTTGCATCTCCTTCATCACAAGATGCAGGTTCCACTGAGGGTGAGTCAGAAGTGAGAGGTAAAACCAAAGGTAATAGATGTATCCGTCCCATTTGTGATTTGTCATTGCTAACTACTCCCAATACTTTTTGTTGCTCCTCACATCCAAACCTACCCCCTGAAACCAACCCACCACCCCCCTCATTTTCTTCTTTCACTCATCACTCACTGCATGATGATGAAATTTCTGTTTGTAACTAACACTGAATTTAGAGGTATAGGCCATAAGGTTATTGTGGTTCAAGAAGCCACATAGTTGAATCCAACTTTCTTTTGCTAGTCTATAAATTGGTTTTCTTAGGTCGAGTATTAGTCAAGGCATGGTGGCATGTTAGAAAAGCATTAGAAACTTTACAAATGATAAAATTTTCTTAGAAGATTTGTTGAAGTTATATGTACTATGATATTCTATCTAAACCATTATATGCATGATTATGGCACTCACTCCTGTTGGAAATGCTGTCATATACGATGATCATGTGTACACTGCAAGACAGTACTTGGCAGTTATTAGTATCTTCACCTGAACCAACACTGGTTCTCAAAAGCATTAACATCATTGCAGCCATTGGACTCATTTCTTGATAGATGCTTGCTAAATAAAGTTATCACATAGGTATAATGTGTTAGAATTTTCAGCTTACACATTGAATTATTTGTAATAATAACTTGGGTAAACCTCAAATATACCACTAAACTAGTAGGGCAGTATGCACCCAAACAATTTTTGTCATCAATTTTACCATCCAAATATTTTGATTTCTCAATTTAGAACTTTTGTTAGAACAGAACACTTAATGGAAACATTAAGTTCCCTACAAACGACGTTGGTTCTTATATATAAAAAAGTATGATTTGGATGGAAAGCCTTAAAAATGGATGGAAGTCCTGAACCTTAATCGATAAGTTCTGAAAGTTTGATGGTAGAATTGATACCAAAAATGGTTTGGGTGCAATATTGAGACTACTTATATAGTTGGAGGGTATTCTGAGGTTTCCCTTATAACTTTCATGGAGGACTTTATTTAATATGCAAACCATTTACCCAACTCTGTCATTTGAATAGCAGTGATCATAACATGATATTTGAATAGCTAGGGTACAAAATTGAAAATTTTATTTTACAGCTGCCTTTAAAAACTAGAAGTGAATTTTTTTCGAAACTCAGTACCATGAACCATTAAGCCTGTAAATTCATGTTTCAATGAGTGATCCTAATTTTTTTTTTCTAGTTTTTTTGTGCATTTGATTGATCATATTTGCATTATATTTTCCTGTTAGTGGAATTTGTTAGTATTTAGGGTTAGGAACTGTACAATCTGTTCCAGTTTTCTTAATATGTACTATATTATTTGCTAACTATAAATGTTGGATAGACTTCTCTCTAGTTTCTGGAGTATGAATGAATGATTCTCAACATCTCTTAATTATTGGAGTAAATGGTTGATTGTAATTGTAGTTTGCTGGTCCTTTGTTTTGTTTTTTTAATCATTTATGCATTTGATTGATCGTAATTATTATTTATTTTCCAGGTTAGTAGTTTTTGTTAGTAATTGTTACCCCCCTTGTGTATGCAGAGATGCACTCACAACATCCAACCCTGAACAGTTTGACGGCAGTTGGTTTTGATGAGAGGATGTTGCTACACTCAGAGGTATGGTGCTTTTATACATTCCCTCTTGACTTCCTAATATTTTCTTCTTCTTTTTTTTTGGTGTGGGGGAGAGAGGGGGGGGGGGGGTGTGTTTTAGTGGTACTTTGCATGTCATATAGCCTTGCCAATGTTTTTGATTCTCAATTATAGTATGTTTGCAATAATATCACTTCTGTCATTGATTCAGTTATTCCACTCCATGTTTTTTCATCTATCTTTTATGGCATGTCCAAAAATCATTTGTTTGTTTTGGCTCTCGAAGGTATAATTATGTGGGAACTTTGATGGTGCTATTCAAGTAGTTGAAAGGAGCAAAACTGTGCTTTTCTGAAGTGATGTAAGATAACTTTGGATTAATGCCTGACAAAGGGTTCGTTGTGATCTTGTTTGGAGAATTAGGGATTTAAGGTGGGAATAGGGTTAAGGTTTGGTGTATGTGGAATTGGGATTTTACTGTACCAAGAAAGAAATAGAATAAAGGAAGAAGAAAAGAGTGCTCAGAGCCAGAGGAAAGAGATGGGAAGAAAGAACACAAGGCTGCAGCCATAAACTAAACAAAAAGTAGTGATAGCTCCATTATTTGAAGTCCTATGGTTACATAGAATAACTGCTCCTTTTATAGGTGCCAACGACACTAGTAGTCCTAAACTAAGAAGGAAATAGGAAACCAAATAGGAAACGGAAATCATAGCTAATAGAAAACTCCTAATTTCTCCTAATTAATATTATTGTTTCTGAATAATCTAAGATTCCTAAATAAGACAAATTCCTAAGTAGACTAGTTTTACAGGAAATATCAAAATATACGAAATCAAAGATTAAATAACTAAATCTCTAAAATTCTCTCTCATTGATGGCATCATAGAGTAAAGGATCTTATATGCTTTTTGACCTATGTTAGCACAAAATTAGATGTATACACAGATTTGGGATGAAAAACCATGTATACTGGATTGCGCTTGTGATATTGATGGTCATTGATAAAGGATATGTGGTAATTAACTTTACCACCTTTAAGTTAGAAACATTCCGCCAAAGTTCTGTATCATACCTTTCCACCAATCCTTCAATGCTTTGACCTTAATGCCCTTCTTATTGGTGGTGATTGAAACTTCATTTAAATTTCAATTTCATTGGCCAGAGTAAACTTGGGAAGAAGGACTACCTTCCTTGTCTGCAATTGCAAGCATTTCTAGTATGGTCTTAGGTGTGATTTAAGCCATAGATTTGCACTGTACTTTGAAACATATTTTGGCTAATAGGACAGTTCAGCAAGATGAAAATGGTGGAGAAATAGCAAATATGTCGTACTGAGGGGTGATATGGAAATTTGGAGATGTCTGGTTGGATTGTTGCCCTAGCCGATGGTTGTGAAATTGTTCACCAGCCATATATCATCAAAATTAGTTTACGTTGCAGCAATAGTATCCAATTTCACAGTTTAAAGCATAGATTTTGAATTTGACACAGCATCCAGTTCGTAACTTGACTTTGATGCACTGTCATTTGTCGTGGATTCTCATATTTCATTTAACTGTGTGTGATATTGTATGGGAAGTTGATGGTATTTCTTTTCTAACTGCTCACATAATTTGGTTAATTAGTTTTGGTGATTTGCTATGTCAAAATAGGTCCAAATGAAGTCGCATCCCCACCCAGAACGACCTGATCGCCTTCGAGCTATTGCTGCTAGCCTTGCAACTGCTGGTATTTACCTTTTTTCCCTCTTATTGTTTGGATAAAGGAACTAAAACAAACTAAATTCTTATTTTAACTATTAAATAATAAATATTAACATTTCCAACTCATTCTAAAAGTTTAGAATAATCATCCTAATTAAAAAGTCCTAAATAATTAAATGTTAGTTCCCATTATTGTCTTCCTTTGTTTCATATAATAGCCTAACTTTTATTGCATCATCGACTGATTGTCTAATAGTTTTGGCATTTCCTATAACATCTATTAGCTACTTGATGACAATCATTAATGACTGCAGGTTTATTTCCTGGAAGATGCTACCCAATTTCTGCAAGAGAGATTACCCTAGAAGAACTTCAAGTGGTGAGTGATAAGCATTAGTGAGTGCTAATTATATCCCTGTGTTTGTCTAAGAGGTTTATTGTCTGAAATGTGTTGGGTAATTATGAAACAATGATAATGTCTTTGATGAGGTCATTTGAAATTCTTAGGTGCATTCGTTGGAACATATTCAAGCTGTAGAACTGACAAGCCATATTTTCGCTAGGTATGTCTGTGCTGTACAGGTGCATGTGTTTCTGCTCTCTTGTGTGCCCTTGCAATGCTGTCATAGTTCTCACTATTGGGGTCTACTGTAATGCTGTAAAAACATTTCGGGTTGGAGGTTGGAGACCATTGATTAATTGTAAGCTATGGGGGTGTAAAATTCAGGTTTTGTGATGGGTTTTCTGGCATCGAATTTGATCTTTAAGGACTTGAGATGTCAATCAGATTTATAAATTTAGCTTTTGAAGATTTTATATTCCTGTCCTGGGCGTACATTTTCTTTCAGGCTTGTTTGTTCTTGGGTTTATGGATTCTTTCCACTTTTACCCTTAAAGCTTTGAGCTTTGTTGTATTTTCTTTTTCAGTTTGTTTTTTCCCCCTTTTTCTGCTTCCCTTCGCCTAATTTTTCAGTCTAAATGTCATTGGAAAGGTGATTTTTTTTAGTAATTTACTGTCTTGGGTGACATTTTCACATTCCTTGATTGGCACCGTAATTAAAGGCACCATTATTGGCACTGTAATTAAATGCACCATTATCATTTGTCTTAATGGTTCTATGATGAGACCAGGTATATGATTAATTGGTTGTTTTATTGGCAGTTATTTCACTCCTGACACGTACGCTAATGAGCATTCAGCATGTGCTGCTAGGCTTGCAGCAGGTTTGTGTGCAGACCTTGCTTCAGCAATTTTTTCAGGACGGGTGAAAAATGGTTTTGCTATGGTATGGCTAATTGCATGTTATGTAATTTAGTTAGTATTGTCAGGGAAGTAGAGGAACTGTCTAAATTATGTTTTTAATGTTATTTACTATCGATTAGGTTCGGCCTCCTGGTCATCATGCTGGTGTAAGAGAGGCTATGGGATTCTGTCTCCATAATAATGCTGCAGTTGCTGCATTAGCTGCTCAGGCTGCTGGTGCCAAGAAGGTGCTTATAGTTGATTGGGTAATGTCCTTGTTGATTGCCCTCGATGCCTTTTTTTTTTTTTTTTTTCTGATTGCTCTTGATGCCTTTTGTTGCTGGTCTTACTTTGTTCTTTTCTTTTGATCAGTATTCTTATTTTTACCTTTTTTTTTATACTTCTAATATGGTTCTTGCAGGACGTCCATCATGGAAATGGGACACAAGAAATATTTGATCAGAACAAATCGGTGAGCTGTACAATATATTTTGTAATCCAATTCATACTAAAGGAGACAGAATATGTTCCTTTTCTCAAAACTGAAAGCAAAAATTTCTATGTCTATCCTAATCAATGAGCTATACACTATATAGTGCTAGAAGCTGATTTTTAATTTTTTCCTGTTGTCTTTTATCAACCCCATGAATCTGTTGTTGAAATGGAAATGAATGAGATAATTTTAGTGGCTTGAATTATGCTTTTGGCAATGTTTCAGAATTAGGCGATGGAAACACCTAGTAAAGAGAATTTTAAAGTATTCCCAACAGATCTCCTTTAGTAACACAGAGCAGCCTGCTATAAAGCGCAATTTAAGCATTCCAAGCATGCACTAGATTTCTCCTCTTCTTTTCTGCATTATGGTTTTGCTTTGGAATAGTTTCTTCACTTTTTGTGTCAAGTTTTTTTGTTGATTTACGTGCTTATATCTATAGGTTTTATACATATCTTTGCATAGACACGAGGGGGAAAGTTCTATCCTGGTACTGGAGCTGCTAATGAGGTACTTGACTAATTTCACCTTTTGTTCTCCTCATTTGACTAACAAGAATCTATGAACACATAAACTATTTTCTTATACCCATTCATGGATATTTGTCTGTCTTTTTCCCTGTTGTACCCAACTTCATATTCATTTGAAGGGAATTGCACTATGATCCGAGAAACTGAACTCATTGAGCTGGACATATTGGCTAATTGGATGCAAAGGGTAATGCAACATTGTTTTATTGAGCTTTTCAGAGAGAAGTTTTTGTGAACTGAAACTGGAGACATGTGAATGTTTATTTGAATGTTTCATATTTCACCTCCAGTGAATTAAAGAGTTTTCAATACTGCCAAATATTGTAATTTAGTACCCAAGTTATTATTTTATTATTACTATTGCTTTTATTGTCACAGTGATTTTTTTTTTTTTTTTAGCGACTGGTTGTTCGTATTGTAGTCAGACCTATCCCTAGTATGAGGAGAGGTTAATAATCCATTTCCTAGGATGCGCAGCTCTATTGATGGTATGTTATTATTCACACAGAGGATGTTTAGCCATTAAGATAGAGAGGGAGGATATGGTGTTTGTTTGATTTGTGAAGTTAGAGACAATTTATATTACTGTTTGTGAATATAATGAATATGTTTTCCCCTTTTCCTCGAGGAGAATTATTATCCTTGAGCTCTGTATGATATGCAACTGATCGAGGAAATAATTTCAAGATGATGCATATCATCTTGTTTATAGGAAGTTAGAGGTTTGAACATCACAGAGGTTGTCAAGTGTAGAAGGCAACTCACTAAGTATCATTGCAGAGGTTATTAAATGATCTTTGTCACCAGATATGGATAAATGTTAGATATTTCTGAAGCCAAAGCTTTAACTACTTTGCAGCTGAATGAATCTAGGTACTTAAAAGGATTATTGTTAGTATTTGAAACTTTGGATTTTAGAGCCCAGGGCTGTACCTATGTTCATTTTGTTCCTTTGTTGGTCTCAGAATATTCCATGGGACAGATGAAAGTTGGCACTCATTCAAAACTGTGGTTTGTGTTAATACACAGCAAATCTTGGTTGTGTTAATACACAGCAAATCTTGGTTAGCTTAATGTGAACTCTTGGGCATTCATTGTCTAGACTTTATTTTGTGTAAAACTATATAAATTGTCACACTGTCTGTGCGTCTATTTACTTATTTATTTTTTGGAGACTTACCATATCCATCTTTACTATGTTTTTTTTTCTTGCAATTTACACTTGGATGTGTTACCTGTGCAAAGACAGCATGGTAATAGTATGAAGTTTGTTGGGCCTAGTGATTTAACTTTGGACATGAAGTTGAGAAAGAGAAATGAGGAGTCTCCTACCAGTACATGAAATTACCATCAATGGTGTTTTGCCATCACATGACTATGGTTACCCTTACACAAGGCTCTAAATGAGGCTACTAAGGTCTCAAGAGAGAGCTGCAAAACATGGAGCTCCCATGAGGCCAGTACATTGTCATCGCCTTTTTTTTCCCACACTAAAAGCAGAAAACATTTTGCTTAAAAAATGGAAAGGAAATGACTGAAAGATTAACTGAAAAAAAAACAAAAAAGGTGAAAAGAGAGGGAAAAAGCTGATGCAAACTAACACCAGTACATCCTAGCAAGTAAGCTCAATGTATCTGCATACCTTTTATCCTAGTAGTATTCTTCTCTGGTTAATATGGTTTTACTTGCTGTATCATTATCATTGACCTATAAATATTTATAAACACTGTTAATTTTTAGCATCTCACTTGGAGCATAATAAATGTTCTCGGTTGGCATTTTAATATTTTTGCAGGTTGGTAGAAATGGTGCAGAAGGATACTGTGTAAATATTCCCTGGAGTCGTGGGGCAGTTGGTGACAATGATTATATTTTTGCATTTCAAAACATTGTGCTGCCTATAGGTTGATCTCTTGTTATTTCATAAATGCCAGTTCATTTTAGTGAGGGATTGTCTGCATTATGTGGTTTGGCATTTTTGTAAAAAGTTCTAATTATTCCATAAGAGTAACCAGGTTGAGGAGTGACATCTTGTTTTGTAAAATATTAATGGATTTTGCATGCTAAAGGTTGAAATATGCTTCTATGTGGAAGTGGGTTCTTTTGCTTGTGTTTATTTATTTGGTTTAATAAATATTTTAAATAGAGTGCACCAATTGTCTAGCTATAATCAATATTCTAATATGTAATTTTGCCTTTGGATAATTAATATATATTAATTTCCTGAGATTCACCGATTATAAAATTTGAGTTTTCAAGTAGTGTGGACTACTTGTATAGGATAAAGTAGCTTGTGTGGTAAGGAAAACTTGAAGCAGTAAATGTTTCTAATACACAATGTGCTACTCTGCTGTTTGTGTATCAATCACTAAGGTTCCTTGTGTTGGTTTGCCATACGTAAGCTTGTTCCATGGAATGTTTAGCGTTTTGTCTCTCATATGGTTTAGAGTCTTTTGTTTCTCATAACAAGTGCATATCTTATACTCCTAAAACAATTAATGATGCTTGAATCACATGATTGCAGCCACTGAGTTTGCTCCTGATTTCACCATCATATCAGCTGGATTTGATGCTGCAAGGGGGGATCCTCTAGGATGCTGTGATGTAAGGATTTTTCTATTTGATTAAATGGTTTGCTATTGTTTCTTCTTCTGTCATTTCACAAGATATCCTATTGCTAGTAAGCTATTTGATTATTTTCGTAGTGTTGTAATATATTCAATGAATGCATTAATGACTTTGCTAAGAACTCAAGAAGCTCTGTCATATTCCATCCAAATTCTCGACTTTCTTGCCATTTCTACTTTTGATGTTCCATGAATACGTATCTACTTTTATACTTCTTTTACTCGATGTTTTGTTACATTGACATGGTCATGATGTTTTTATAGGTAACTCCTGCTGGCTATTCACAAATGACAGATATGTTGTATGCTCTTTCTGGTGGAAAATTGCTTGTTATTCTAGAGGGCGGGTTTGTTTACTGTTGACTCTTAAATTTATTATCCTTCTTTCATGTCCAAGTTCACGTGAAAGTAATTTCATCTTTGCAGCTACAATCTACGCTCAATATCATCCTCTGCCACCTCAGTCATCCAGGTGAATTTTCAAATACCTGAAATGTACAAACTCCACATAGATAAAAACATTTGAATTTGGACAGTACACCTATTTACAAATTTAATCATACTTTCCACAACTCAGCATGCATAAATTACATGATTGAAATTGTTAAAAGATCTGGGGGTGGCGATACCATGGCAGGGGTACCTTCTAACCTCTTGACTCTGCTCAAGGCTGCAAGCAGGGAGTGGGCGCTTTGAAAATTTTCCTTTTACAACTGTCTCATTTGTGATGTGAACACAATTCTTATGTTAATGACCATGCTTTACTGACTGGCTGTTGTTGCAAAGGTATTGCTGGGTGAAAGTCCTGGACCTGAATTGGGCAACATCATACCCTCTGGAGCTGGTCTTCAAACTGTTCTGGAAGTCATGAATATTCAAATGAACTTTTGGCCTTCTCTTTTATCTAGTTATGGAAAATTGCAGTCCCAATGGGGAGCATACTGTAATACAAGTGAGAGATTCCTGCTTGCTTTCATGCTTCAGTTTTTAATGGTTCAGATCTAGAATGTCCTCTTTCATTCTCTTTATTTTGCAGTCGATTTTGGTATGCTTAGAGATATCTATTGACCTTTCATTCTCATTACCTTCAGGAAAACAAATAAAAAAGCGGCAGAGGACTGATCCACCTATATGGTGGAAATGGGGAAGAAAGAGGCTGTTGTATCATATCCTCAATGGGCGTCTTCATGTAAAATCAAAGTGGCATCGAGTGAAGTGAAAGAACCTTCTCTTCATTCATCCCTTGGCCGCTTGTGATTTTGTGAAATTTTGTATATCAGTAGTTTCGGTTTAACGTATAGTTCTGTATGACTGCACCTTAGTGGTAGTGATTTGAACTGGCTGCATTGCTTCAAGCCTCTAACGACTGAGTTTTGATTACCCTTCTTTTGGCCCGATCATTTTTTGAACAAATGGCCGTGCTATCATTTGTTGCGCCTTTTGTCGATAACTGATGAGAATATCTTGAAGCCAACAGTTCTTAGCAATGACTTGGACAACCCAAAACGTAACATCGGACCAAATTAGCTTGATATGGTCCTATTCCCATACACCGAAAAAAATAAAATAAATCCTTTTGCATTAATTAGGGAATGGATTTGTATAATTTCCACGTCTTTCATGCAGCATATGAATTTATTATTATTTTCATAAATTAGGAAATTTGCTGTGGTTCAATGATATGTTTTGAATTATCCAAGTCGCTGGTACCATTGAAGAAAATATAGCCAATTTTGCTAACGTCGAAGGACCCCAGTAGCTGAAACATCAAATGGCTTCATAGGGAGACGTCTTAAGGAGTTTAGTTGCCATCTAACTTAACTACAAAATGATGTGTTAAATGGGGAACTTGCAACGAAGATGATTGAAAATACATTAAAAATGTGGTGTTTCTCCCCTGTTAAATTGAGTGGCCAATCAATTGGGCTACAAAATTGAATTTATGTTGTTTCCGTGTTTCAAAAACAGCTTAAATATTGAGAGTTTCGTTATTTTGTAATTTTTCTATAACCAGCTGGGAGATATTTGAGAAGAACTACAGAGCGATCATTACGGACCTTGTTGATATATTTGATAAATTAAGCAGTTATGATTAGCATAAGTACAAAATTTCAATGATAAAAAAATTGCAATTCCCTGGTACGTTACATCTAATCTGAGGTGGATGACATAATTACAAGAGATCTTGTTTGCTATGTTCTTGATGAATGAGTCTTCTTTTCAATACCCAGCAAGGAAAGAAATGTCTTCTTAGCAACATCTCTCTTTTATTCACAATCCCTTAAGTCTTCCGGTGAAATATTGAGAAACTGAGATCTTTATTGGTACATTGTTGGTGGTGGTGCCACCGGGTAAGCAACAGGAACTACGTAGGGAGGGTGGGGATGATGTCCAGGTGGAGGAAGCATCACAGGAGTTCCAACAGCCGATTGCATATGACCTGGAGGATGGCCAACCGGGTGTCCGACTGGCGGTCCATACATGGCTAAACCAGGCATATGAGGTTGAGCCCTATGCTTCATTGAAGGTCCCATAGCAGGAGCAGGAGCAGGACCTGCAGGGTTTGTGTTAACCTGTTGACCAGTAATTGGTGCTTGATGAGAAGGCACATCTCCATCGTTCAAGCTTGTAATATCATGGATGCTAGACCTCCTCCTATCCCTATTCATTGAGTTCAACCGGATGAAGTATTTTTGAGCATGACTTGCAACTTGTGTTGGTGTTCTTGATATGACAAAGTTTCTTGATATGCTTCTCCAATCTCCTTTGCCAAACTTGTCAAGACCAAGTAAAAATAACCTGAAGGGAAAGGAGAGAGAGAGAGAGAGAGAGATTATGGCAGTGTCAAATCCTTTATTAAAAAAGAAAAGAAAAGAAAAGAAAAGAAAAAATCCTCCTACAGAATTAACATGTAGTTAGTTTGCAAAGAAACATAAAATCCTAGTTCCGCTTAAGAGTTTGCAACCAATTTTGCTCTATAGTGTCTGGGATCTCCTACATTAAATTAATCAAATTTGGCTAAGTAAATATCATAATATGTATTGTTAAATATAATCCTAACAGAACCTATTAGACATTGACATACCTATGCTCTTCTTCTGTCCACGGAATCCCTTTCCTTCTTTCTTGTTCTGACCTTGATGCTCCTTTGCCTCCATGTCCAGACGACTCATGACCTAACCCCATAAATCCACTTCCATAACCACAGTTCAATTTCTTCTCAGTAGCCGAAGTCCCAGAAAGTCCATGAAGATCCTTACTTGAAGATGTGGCTTCCTCTCCCTCATAATTTGGTATTGGTACATTTCCTGCCTCTATAGCACTAACATCTTCTACTAGTATTTCGTAGTGTAGTTTCAACTCTTCAAGACTTTTACTAGGCACCATCGAAGCAATCTTTTCCCATTGCTCTTTTGAATCCTCATCAATCCAATGCATTGCTATTGCATTCTCGAAAGCTTTCTCTTCGTCTCGGGTCCAACTAATTACACTTGCCATAGTGTGTTTGGTCCACAATTCTTTCAGTTCAAGGTATGGTATGATATGGTGAAAAAAAAAAGTATGTCAATGGGTTCATTATGAGTGCTTTTTTTCCCCTTTTGCCCCTTGGTCATGGGGTTCTCTTGGAAAAAGAAAGGGTGCGCAGGATAAGGAGGAGAGGGACATTTGGTGTGTAGGATAATTGGTGGGGTGTCAAACTATCAAATTGATGAGGACTGCTTTGTACACATTGTATGGGCAAGTTTGTCATGTTCATATCATACTTGGAAAACTATATAGGAAAATCTCCCTCTCCCTAGTGACACGCTTCACTTTTTCCCCTCTCAACTGTGCCGCTTTCTCAATCATGGAGAGTTCATATTTGGAAGGGATAGGTCCCAAGAGAATATATGGACTCTCATTGCATCGCATGTAATTTTCATCACTCTCTTAAACTATGATTCTGACCTACGCTCCATTTTGATTTGCCATTGCATCTATGTACTAATTATTTAAGAAGTTTTTTCTCCCCTGTAAAAACCAATTTGTATGTATAAATAAGGATGCATACTCCACAAAACTCAGTGTATTTTAAAAAAATTAACAAATTTCGCTATATTCTCTAATATTTCAATTTTTGAAAAATTAAGGGGAAAAAAAAAATACAAATCTCTTTCACCATGAAACCAACTCTTTAGATTTTATTGTTATATTCTTTAGAGTTTATAGTTTTAAGAGTTGATGTTGTTTTCAACTGAGTGATGAAAATGGTTTGGCCATCTTATTATCAAGTAGATTTTAATAATTTTAAAATCAAATTGTGAAAATGTATTTTGTCATGAATCTTCATAGTTAAAGTGGTTTTAGAATATATATATATATATTTTTGACAAATAAAAAAATTTAAGTATTGTTATAAGCTACCAAGCAATTACAAAACTGTTGTAATTATATATATATATATATATATATATACACACACACATTAGTTTCTTGTAATTTAGGTATTTGTGAGTTTAGTGACTCATCGTGCTTTAGTAGCAAAATTTCTTTCAATTTGTCAAAGGTGCTTGCTCCCTGACCTAAACACTTACCATGCAATCAAGGAGGATCCGACTTCATCTATTTAGTCTAAAAGAGCAAGAATATTCTTTTAGAAAAAAAAAAAAACATGTGTCTTTAGATATTTGTGAATTTATTGTTTTTTAAAAGATTAAAAATAAATTCTGTAGGTTTATATAGACTATAATGGTTGTGTATTTAATAATTTCTTTTAATAAATCAGGTTTCAATCTTTAAAATTTATTTTAGTTTATTTAGTTATTATGTAATGAAAGAGATCTACTTATCGTTATATAATTCAACACTCAACATATTTTTAATGAATAAAAAAATTAAAAATAAATCTAAAAAATGTCAAGAAATTTGTGGGCCAATGTATCTATTTTTTTCTATCGCAAAAAAAATATGGTTTTCAAGTCTCTCTTTTATAATTAAAAAAGAAAAAAATTAAGAAAACAAAACTGAGATTTTCTTTCTTTGTGTATTAGATAGAACAATAAAAAACACATTATTTTGTCGAGTAAATTAAAAATTAATCTTTAAGTTTTGTAAAACGAGTTAAATATTTTTCTTTTTAGTTTTAAAAAATAATTAATTAGTCTCTAGATCAATGTTAATCATTTTTAATTTAATATTATTTTATTTTAAAAAATATTTTTTTCTAATCAAGCTTTTCATATTATTTATGTTTTATTTCTTAAAAAATAAATTAAATTGAAAAATAACACGAAATAAACAAGATGAACAAATGAATTAGTTCTTAAAGCTAGAAAAAAATATTTAATTTGTTTTGCAAAACTAAAAAGGCTAATTTATAATTCACTCTCATCTATTTGTAGCTTAATAGTTGTAAAGGACCGAGGGTTTAGCTCAAATTATGTTTTGGTCTATCAATAATTAATTTTGAAAAAGAAGAATAAACAATATAAATGTGTTTTAGGAAAACTCTACGATATGATGCCTTCGGAAAAATCTAAGGCATTGCATTTGCATATGGTGGTAGTACACCATATGGAGAGTAATAATCACGCCCCTCACATAGAGTTAGAGAGAGCCATTTTAATATTTTGGCTTTTGTCTGGAATTTCTTTTTGTTTTGGTTCTCTGAATCTCTCTCTCTATGACGTGGCCTTCTCTCCATTGCTCGTTATGGCTAACAAGTACCACATACGATTCTTCCGCTCTAGAACCTTCTTTTTATAATATGGTAGTAAAAAAATAAAAATAAAATAAGAATAAGACCTTTATATCCTCGTAAATTATTTATACTTCATACACTTTAGTGTCATGAGCAGTAATATAAAAACTGGGATAATTACTAGAAAAAAAGTAATATATTTTTTTTATCAAAATACGTGATAATTAAATCTCAATTTAACATGGGTTACAAGAATTAATTATTGAGTACTTTGACAAGAGAAATGTTATCTTGGATTTGAGAAATTTGAAAATAATTCTGTAGTTTTTTGGATATAAAATTTTTAAAAAGATTTTCTATTAATCATCTCTAACTAATGAAACCAATATCTTTTGGGATATACATCTCTGTTGTGAATGTCTATCTTTTATTCTATTAATACATCAAAATATGTTATACATTCATAATATAACTTGATTCAATTGCTTGATAAAAGAATGTTAAGTTTTAATTAATTAAAAATAGTACGATTGATAAATTATTTTTTTCTATCAATGCATTGGGATTTAAGAAATTATTAATGTTTATAATCATAGATATTCTTAGTTTTTTTTTTTTTTTAATTTCTATGATACCGTTTGAATTAAATTACATGAGGATAATAAGAGTCACATTTTCATCAATATTAATCAGTTAAATTGCATCAGCTCCTATAACTATTAGATAGTAAAAGTAATTTTTTAGCTGATGATACAAACGATCGATAAAAGAAAAATAAAAATAAATAATAATAATAAAAACTCTTACAAAAAAACTTTTTTTTAGTGTAATAAGATAATAATAACTAAAAGTTTGTGAGTCAGCACTTAAAAAACATGAAAAAACTTTTTTTTTCTTTCAATTGCAATTAGAAAGAACTTGAACTTTATTGTGAATAAAAAAAAGATCACTCATTAAAAATTATGAAATAAGATTATTATTAGATCATTATCGGAAAACCTTCTAAAAAAAACTTCTATCTAAAAAATTCATATACATTTTTTTAATTTTTGAAATTCAAAATGATATATTTTTTTAACCTAAATGCCTAATTGTTACCTGGTGTTAAATTAAGAGTTAACTATTAGTTGTTTTGATAAGAAAAATATTGTTTTAAGTTTGAAAAATTTTAAAATAAATTGATAGATTTTTAAACAGAAGATTTTTTTAAAGGTTTTTTTTAATAATAATTATTATAATTATAATAATAATTATTATTAAGGGGAGGAGGAGGAGGAGGAGGAGGAGAGCTCTCAGGAATTACAAATGAATCATTTTAAAGAAAGCAATCCCGCCAATATTATTATTTTTAATTGAGATTGAAATATATATATATTGTGGAAAATTCCATCCTTTTCAAACACCGTAGGAGTTTCCTAAATATTTCATCAACAAAACGAATAGAAATTGTCAGGAAAAAAGAAAAATCACTTTTGAGAATGAAGTGATCAGATAAGAAAAAACTTGGTTACAGCCCACATTTCAATTGTTTTTAATGACGGAGTGCCAAAAAAGGTGGCTTGTAGTTCTGTACGTTCAGCCAGTGGTGCTTCGGCAACCATAGTTGTTCTATAATCTAGGGAATATTAAAATTTCTTTACTAATTTTAGTTTTGTTAAAATGTTTTTTTATTAGGAAATTTTATTTTTGTTAAAATGTTACTCCTGTTTCACAAAAAAAAAAAAAAATCTTTATTTTCTTATTTAGATATCTCATAATTGTACCAAATTTTACTACTTTATTCTTTAAAAATTGAATTCACATATTTTTTTTTATTCAGCTACATTTAATTTTAATTTTGTTAAAAACATATTATTGGTAAATGTGTTTTTGTTAAAATGGTACACCTTCTGTATCACAAAATAAAAAAAGGGTCTTTGTTTCTTATTTAGATATTTCAAAATGTATTTCTATTGTTAAAAAGTCAAAGAATTAAGTACCAAACTTTTGTTCTTTTTGAAAAATTGAATTCACATTTTTTTTTTTTTGGTTAAACTACATAATTTTACAAAATAATGTAGGAAATACATGAAAAAAATTTATGAATAGACACAATATTTAACATGTTTTTTCATCTGTATGAAAAATAGGATAACACTCTCTTGATGGAATTGAGAGAGTATTAATTGATTAGTAAATTTATTATAGAGTTATGTAATTGATCAATAATGATAAGAAATTTAATCACATATTTAGAAGACCTTTCCATATGATAAATGCTATATTAATTAATAAAAAATGATCACAAACATCTGTTAATATCCCTTTCATTACTTCAACAACATGTTTATCAACATATAAAAATTAAAAAAAAAAAAAATTACTCAAGTTGCTGTGGAAAAACTCCATATTTGTTATTGTATTTGTGTCAATTCAGCATAAGAAAAGCTTTCGTCAAATTTACTCTATATTCATCAAATTTTGTCAATACACCTAATTGGACCAAACTGTAAACAAACTGAAATAATTTTACCCTATAGAGAGGGATTATAGTGCTTATTATTTAGTTCAATTGAGTTAATTTGACAAAAGACGATGAATATAGAATAAGTTTAATCAAATATTTTTAAAGGAGTTTGTTTGTCGAATAAATACAAACATGAGATCAAATTAGAGGATTTAATTACCATTCATGATACTGGCTCAAAAAAAAAAAAAAAAAAAAATCGAATATGCGCAATGCTCTCTTGATGTTATTGTCATCTCTTATCTTATGAAAAAGAGCTTTAGCGATGGGGGACCTATTGTGGACTGGTAGTTTTCTGATTGAAGCAGCATG